TTCCAGTATAGACTCTAACATACGGCTCTAACTCTCTATTTCCTCCGAGTATATACTCTAACATACGGCTCTAATTCTCTATTTTTTTCCAGTATATACTCCAACAAACGATTCTAACACTATTTCTTCCGAATATAGACTCCAACGTGAGGCTCTAATTCCCCATTTCCTCCAAGTATATACTCTAACATACGGCTCTAATTCCCCATTTCCTCCGAGTACAAACTCCAATAACTTATGACTTATCTATCTTTATTTCTTTTTACTTAACAGTTTGCAAGTCATATTTCCTACAGAGACTGGAGTATTTTACGTGTTCGACTGTTTCTCTGAACTTTCCTTTGCTTACGAGTTGAAGTATCAATCAGAATAAATAAACGTAAATAAATTTCTTAGCGTCACATAACAAAGTACAGAGAAACATCTCGCCCCTTTTTCTACAAGACCTGCACGTGCTTGTTATATTTGTAAAGATGAAGTTGAAAACAACTCGGCAACTAGTTGACTTGCTTCTTCAACTTCCTTGTTATAAATCTAAACTAACGATGTTGGTGTGACGCTAATTGAACGAGTTTGGCTCTAAAAAAGCCTCATTCAGCGTGAAATGTTAAAAAGTGTGTACACATTTTAACACAGCTTTATCATTATTTACGTAAAATTTCAAATATTAGACATCCCCTTTTACATTTTCGCTAATTTAGTGGGACGATAATACTACCTACACATCGGCACATTGGTATGTCTGCGGACTTATACCGTTAGAAACCGGGTTACAATACCCGTGGTGGGCAGAGCACAGATCCCCTTTGTGTAGCTTCGTGCTTAACAACAATCAATCACTGCTATATATATAAAACTATTAAGTACAATTAGAACAATATCTTACCAAAGTGTCAGTATATTGTTATAGTTTGAGAGTTCTCAGTTTAAAACGGTACTTATTTGCTTGCCTTCATATAAAAATCCCCCTCCAGTGGCTCAGCAGCAAGTCCCTGGACTTAGTACGCTAAAAAAATCAGTTTCCATACCCGTGATGTTTGTTTGTTTGTTTTGGAATTTCG